AAAAGGTCATCTTGAGATCGAAGGGTTTACTGATGCAGACTGGGCCAAGAGTGTTTATGATAGGAGATCAACATCAGGATACTTCACCTTTGTGGGAGAAACTTAGTTACTTGGAGGAGTAAGAAGCAGAAGGTGGTGGCATTGTCAAGTGCAGAGGCCGAATTTAGAGGGATGGCCAAAGGGTTGTGTCAGCTTCTGTGGCTTAAGAAGTTAATGCCGGAGATTGGGTTCGCTCTAGGAGCCGAGATGAAGTTGTTTTGTGATAACAAAGCAGCAATTGACATCTCTCACAATCCAGTTCAGCACGATCGTACCAAACATGTTGAGGTAGACCGTCATTTCATCAAGCAAAACTTGGACACCAAAGTGATTCGGTTTCCATTTGTGCAATCTGAAAACCAGTTGGCAGATATTTTGACAAAGGCTGTATCAAGCAGAGTCTTCTACAGCTCACTTGACGAGTTGGGTATTCACGACATCTATGCACCAACTTGAGAGGGAGTGTGGGAATGAGCTATAAAATGTGGGAATGAGCTGTAAAATACATGTATGAGTTGTAATCAGCTAAATTAGAGGTCATGCCTTATTAGGAGTCTTTCCTTCCTTTGTATATATATACCTCTAGGTCATTGTAACATAAATAGAAGAAAAAATACAGAAAATTGAGGAATATTTTTTTTCCTCTAAAACTCTCTGTGTTAACAGATTCTGGTTTACAATGATCGAGGTCACACGCTCAACAAAGTCAATAGATAAAGCTAGCCTTAGGAACTGCAGGGGAAGAAGAATCCGAGGAGCTGACCACAGCAGAAAAGTTATGGGGACAATGGACAACTTAAAGAATATATCTATGGATTCGGGTACTTTAGTTAAAAATGGGAATACAGTTTATTCATGTTGAAAAATGGTGAAATCCGTGAAATCCCCTTTTTCCCTATTTTTCTACTTCCCAATAGCTCCTTCATATGTACCGTGGCCCGTCGGTGACACCAACGATGGACACATCTCGGATCACCACGGCCACCCGAGCACCGCCTTTGTGTGCATGTATTGCTACTAGTCATGCTGGATTTGACATTGTTATCCTCTAGCCTCTCCTCGGATCTCTGTTAGGGTTCGCTTGAGATGGGCGACCTTGCCCAAGCAATTCATGCAATGGGAGGGAGGCACGAAGGGAAAGAGAGAGAAAGAGAGTAAAATAAACTATTGCACATAAATAAGAGGAGTTTTTCAACGAGTGTTGTATGGGTACTAGTTAAGCCATTAATTAAGAAAAAAATTACAGGTGTTAATGTATTGAATGTTCTCCTGTTTTGCATAATTACTGTTTTGTAGAATGAATCATTCGAAATTAAATATGCTTAACAAGAATCTATAAGCACTTGTTAACTTGATCCAAAAAGGTAAGTTTGCAAAATAAGGCCTTTTTTTCCTATATCTTAACCAGATTTTTTTTTTGGGTCGGTATTTCTTACGAGGTTTTGTTCAATGATGTTTGCAGGACTTTTGTTAAGAAAGTAAAACTCTAGGGCTATCTTTCTTCCTTTAGATTGTGTTGTAAACACACTCAGGATCATGTTGTTGTAATTGTGAGTAGGGCTGGAAGTAATCTTGCGAGAGGAGCGGGGTTTCTACTACCCGAATTTGGGTAAGGCTAGGGTGGATCACATATCTGAGTTTAGACCAAAATAACCCATTATATCATATTTATCGATTTTCATATCATAAATTATGATTGATATATACCTCGACTCCACCAATTCGCAACCCATTTCCACCCATATAGATTACTAAAGTTTTGAGAGTGTGTTGAGTAAGTCAACACCTGCCGTCACCCCATCGTACCGCCTTTGTTTCCACCACCGCTGACCTACTATTCCCTTGATTCTAATGAGAAACTCAACAGTTTAAAACTATAAACTTGCTTGTTACATTTGAGCAGAGTAAAAAGAAAAATACCTTGCTTTTCTGTCGTAATTAAAATTAAACATTAAGATTTGTGAAAAGATTACTTAAAGATTTAATTTAAATATAAAGGGAAAATTCTGGAGTTTTGTCTTTCACTTTGAAATTCATTTTGACCTACTTTATGAAAAGTTTAGTTATCGACACAAGGTGAACTGGAATTGAAAAAAGTCATGTTTTTTTGTAACATTCTTCCAATTGATAGGCTATAAATCGTGGATATCATTCACCTAAAAAATTTATTAAATATATATATTACCGATGTCCATAATTGTAACCCACCAATCAAAATGGTGGTGGGAACTTCTTCCGACCAGAGTTATAGGAAAGTAGTGCCCATTGAAAATAGGTCAATGATAGATTTTGCTGCCTCTAATTTGAGTCTACTACCATGTGGTGGTTATTGCAATAATAACCACGACATGGTTCTTCTTATTTAGATTTCAAGGTAATGGTAAACTATCAATTGTTGAGCACGGAAGCATGGCTATTACTTGTTGGGTGCGGAATCGTGGCAGTGATGATACGAGATAATTACTACAGTCAATGCTGTACCCCTCTCTCTCTCTCTCTCTCTCTCTCTCTCTCTCTCTCTCTCTCTCTCTCTCTCTCTCTCTCTCTCTCTCTTCTGGAGCAGGCTGGCTTTCAGAGAAACTCACATTTGGGCTCTGTGGCTTATTTATTTTGAGCTCAACATTGAGCTCTATTTACAGACACAAGTAACTATTCTCATGGCTGTTGCACGAGAAAATCCTTCAGCTAAAATTTTGGGCTTGAGAAGCTTTTCACATTGCTCAGCCGAACGTATTGAATGGAGAAGGAAGAAAGTCTTCCTTTTAACGAGACAACTATACCATCTTGCGGGCAAGTAGTTGGACTAGCACGTAGGCCACTACTTGCTCCTAAGCATGCCTTTGTCCTAGATAGTGGTTGGTTTTTTATATCGACTACGGGAGCTGAAAGGGCGAATTTGAGAGTGGGAAAGAAAGCACATTCTTGTTCTATATATATTCACTCTACTATGCATCCACCACTGTACGTACACAGAGCACAAACATGTAAGTTGTTCCACTCTCTCTCTCTCTCTCTCTCTCTCTCTCTCTCTCTCTCTCTCTCTCTCTCTCTCTCTCTCTCTCTCTCTCTCTCTCTCTCTCTCTCTCTCTCTCTCTCTCTCTCTCTCTCTCTACATCTAGACAGTTCAAAAGATATGGAGGCAGCCAAAGTGAGCTTGAAGCTCCTGCTGGACGAGAGCAACCAGACGGTGCTGTCCGACGAAGCGGACAAAGGCCGTGTCGACTTCCTGTTCCGCGTTCCGGCGCTGCCGGTCAGGAGGTTTTGTGAAAGTGGTGGTGACTTACATGGTGATGATTGACCTGGCGGTGAAACCGATGTCGATCATTTCGAGTATTACTTTGAACAACAAGCTCAACGTGAAGGAGATTGGGGTTCTTGAGGAGAAGTTGGTCAGCTTGGGAACATATTTGTCTTAGGCTATATATACGTTCTTCTTTGAGACACTTACACGTGCAAATTCAATGTTAAGTGTATTCGATTTATTAGGGCATTTGGGTTTTAAAAGTGCCAGAAAGCATAAACAAACTTTACAATAGATATTAGATTTGATTCGGAGTTGAATGTGTTTTTATGGCAGTCAAATGTAATAACTTTATTAATTAAGTTAGGCCTAATTCCCTAAACAAATCCCAACTTTAGGTTCAATCCCATTTCTGCCTCGACTTTTATTTGTCTAAAAAAATCACAAAATTTTATTCTAGTTCCAAATCTATCCCGCTTCCTTTCTTCAAAATTATCAATATCCGAAGGTTATTGTTGTTCCATACAAAGGTGAAGGTGTTGGTGAAGATGCACCTTTTAATACGAATATCTAACTGGTCCTAATGTTGATAAATTTGAAGAAACCAATGGCCATTTTCAGACGTGGGGGTAGATTAAGACTATAGTGAGTGATTTTCGTAGACAAAAAAAAATTTCGGTGGAATTGGAATTGAATCTACAGTTATGGGATTTTTAGGAAATTATGCCAATTAAGTTATATATGCATAAATTTTTTGGCGAGAAAGTTGTACATCCTTACTATATATGCTAAGTGGGCATTTTCAAGAACAAGAACCGATTGTCATCTATCAAAATCTTTACTTGATTCTACAACTGATGGTGCTGCCCGTAGAAAATAAAGTTGACCAAACAAAGTCCCACATCAGGTGTTACCTGGCCGACTTCAACAAAACTTAGATGTGCCTACCCCAATCATCTAGGCTGCGTTTGGTCGTCCGGATTTCTAAACAGGATAGGACTGGATAGGATAGGATAAGAAATCCTGGGATTTCTTCATATCCTATCCACTGTTTGGTGGACTACGGATTTAAAGTCGGATAGGATAATTTTTTTTTTTTTTTGCTATTCACGGGTTCGGAGGAGTCAGTGAAGGAAAAAAAGCCGAGAAATTTTTTTGGTGAAAGCGCACAAGGTGTGGGGATGAAGATGACGGCGAGTGGAGCGTAGAGTTTCTAGAAAAATAGGCATTAGAAATCCTATCTGGGTCTATCCTACCCCCTCCCCCCGGATTTTTTTATCCGGGCTATATCCGGTCTATATCCGACCTTATCCTATCCTGGACTACCACCAAATACAGGATAGGATAAAACATATCCTATCCTGGCTTTTATACGGTCGACCAAACGCAGCCCTAAAGTTTAGAAAATGTATGTATATGAATTGGGCCTACCCGAATCGCAAAAAAAGAGCAAATGAAAAAGGGTAAGTGAAAAGTGAGTGAAACTGAGACAATCGCACAGGTGTTACCTGGCCGAAACTTATCCACAGCAGAAGAGAAACACCTTGTCCCATTACTGCTTACGTTTACCCCACGTAGTCATTCAACCACTCCCACTATTCGACAACCGTCCTCCACGTGTCCTCCTCCATAACTCCCCCCGACAGGATCCCGAGATCTCACTCCCTTCGTTCAGAAAAACCGTTTACAAAACCCACTCGTTCTCAGTTCCGCCATTTTCAAATTGCTTCCAAAGCGAGGGAAAAAAGAGACACTCTGATCACTGAAGAAATAAAGCTCGAGAAGAGAGTCTAATGGCTCCGAAGCGTAAGGCCAAGGTCGTCAAGACGACGAGGAAGGTGGTTCAAGAAACAGTCGAAGTCGCTCTCGTCGAAAAGGACCAGAAGTTAGCCGCTGAAGCCGAAAATGGCGTCGAAATACTGCAACAAGAATCAGAGAGCGAGGTCGTGAAGACCACCGTAACGGTGGCAGGAAAATTAGCGGAAGGAGCCGAACAAGTGACGGTCGAAATCCCCGTCGAGCAGCCACCACAGAAAGTAACCGCCGCCACCACTGGAGCACCGAGACCACCGCGACAACCGGAGAGAAAGGCAAAAGGCAAGACCCAGGATCAGAAAACAACGCAAGAAGCCGAGAAGAAGGGCCGCGAAGAGCAAGAAGTGGACGACGAGACTCAGAGCCCCGAGGACACCCCACGAGCCGAGGCAGAGAGAGAAACCGAGACGCTCGAGGAAGAGCCGGCTCTCGACGACGGAAAGAGAGAGAAAGCGCAGGAAACAGAGAAAGAGAGACGCCCGGAGAAAACAGAGAAAGAGAGATCCACGAAGAAAGACGTCGAGGCGAAAAACAAGGCAAAGAGAGCCAGAGAAGTGGACCAGAAGGCAAGAGGAGGGCGGCGGAGGTGGAGGCGGAGGCGGGGAGTTGGGGAAGGAGGCGGGGAGCAGCAGTACAAGAGGTACGTGTTCCGGGTGCTTAAGCAGGTGCATCCGGGGCTTGGGATATCGTCAGCCGCGATGGAAGTGCTCAATGGGTACATGAACGACATGTTCGAGAGGCTGGCCGCTGAGGCGGTGAGGCTGTCGAGCTACGCGGGGATCAAGACTCTGTCATCACGGGACATCCAGGGTGCGGTCCGGCTGGTCCTGCCCGGCGAGCTTGGGCGGCACGCCATTGCGGAGGGGGCTAAGGCCGTGACGAACTACATGGAGCATGGCGGCGGCGGCGGCGGCGGGAGTGGTGGGGGGCCAAGTCCAAGCCCTAGGATGTTTTCATTTAGTTCTGGCTCTGTGGTCATTTGACTAAGTCCTTTTTATTTTTTCGGACTTTTAGGTGATGGTGATTTTGTATCTTATGTTCAGGATTTCTAATGTTTTGATTTCCGTGGGCGGGCCCCTTAGCTCATTTTTGTCTGTGTAATAGAGATTTAGGGCTTGGATTTTTAGGGCTTGTTTATGTGGTGTAAATGACTCTTCTGAAATTTGTGTGTTGGCTTTTTAAGCTTAAAAATAACGGGACTCGTTATATTAGGATAAAATAACGAGACTCGTTGATGATTGGGAAAATTCTTAATTGTCATTATTACATAAAATAGGGAAATTTTATGTGTAAGCAACCACCTTATCGTAATAAGAGAAGATAATAAAAACCCTCCAACGAAATAGCCAAAAGGAAGAGTTGATAGAAAAGTATTTTCAATAATAATCATTTTGCAACATTAAAATGCCTTCTTCTTCTTTTTTGTTAAACAAAAATCATCTCAGTGAGAAGTAAAATGAGTGGAGAGTGCCAGAAAAGCTTCTTCTAAGAAAAAAGATCAAACCCCTCTTAGATGTAATTTATTCAATATAATTTGACATTTCTTTATCCACTAGTAATTAGATCAATGTAGGGCGCAATCTCTCTCGAAAACTACGGGTGATTAAATCAAAGAAGTTTATCCTTTGCCGAAAGAATAACAAGTTTCGTTAGAAGAAGTTGAAATGTAGAACAGAGATGGGTGTAGTTTATATATCGCTCAACTTTATTGTAACAGATGCACTTTGTCTAAAGAATGTTAACCAGGTGCAATTTCTCAGAAAAATTTAATGTAACACAACATAATGAACCAAAAATGGTATAAAAAAAATGCGTATGCAAGCACCACCTATATAATATATGAGACAAGATGTTATTAGAAGGTGCAAACTACCATCAAAGCAACCACCTAGATTTCCCGCTACCCTCACCAGCTTTGAACAATTTGAACCGTAAGTACACTTAATCGAAGTCGAGTATGCTGTCGAGTAGGCTTCAAAGTCATAAGTGCTCGTGTCGACAAGCTCAAAGTTCCCATGCGAAAACGGGCACAAAGCCCTTAAGCCTACATAACGGTCGAGTTTATTAAAATTGAGCTCGAGCACGAAGACTCGATGCAATTCAAGTCCACTTTCGAACATTGCTCGCTCGAGCTAAGTTAAGCTTGAGTTTGGCATTGTATTGGCTCGACTTGGCTTATTATACAGGGAAAATTGTCAAATCAGTCTTAAACTTATTGTACGGCGGCCAATTCAGTCCTAAACCTTTTAAGTTTGCCAATTCAGTTCTAAACCTTTTAAATTCTTACCAATTGAGTCCTTCCGGCCAATTTTGGTCGGCCGACGCTGACGTGGCCACCGGCCGGCGCCGGCCGTCCGGTCAACATTGACGTGGCAATTTTTAATTATTTTTTTCAATTTTTTAATCTTTTTTTTTCTTTTTCTTCTTTTTTTTTCTGCTTTCTCCTCTCTGGCCGGTCCCGGTGACCGTGCAGCTGGCCAGAGGGGAGGCCCGGCGAGGCCTCTGGCCAAGCTCGCCCCACCAGCCCCTGGCTGGGCGAGGCGAGGCGAGGCGAGGTCGAGCCTCGCCGTCGCCTGGGTCGCGACGGCAAGGTCGAGCCTCGCCAAGATCTGGCGAGGCTCGACCTCGCCGTCGCGACCCAAGCGAGGCGAGGCGAGGCGAGGCCGAGCCTCGCCGTTGCCTGGGTCGCGACGGCGAGGTCGAGCCTCGTCAGATCTAGGCGAGACTCGACCTCGCCTTGCCTCACCTCACCGTCGCTTGGGTTCGCGACGGTGAGATCGAGCCTCGCCAGATCTGGGCGACGGCGAGGCTCGACCTCGCCTCGCCCCACCTCGCCCAGCCAGGGGCCAGCGAGGCTTGCCCTCGCCGGTGGCCGGCGGGGCGAGCTTCCCCAGAGGCCTCGCCGGCCCTCCCCTCTGGTCGGCCGCCGGTTGCCGGACCGGCCAGAGGGGAGAAAGCAAAAAAAAAAAAAAAAGAAGAAAAAGAAAAAAAAGATTAAAAAATTGAAAAAAAATAATTAAAAATTGCCACGTCAGTGTTAACCGGACGGCCAGGGCCGGCCGGCCAAAATTGGCCGAAATAACTCAATTGGCAAGAATTTAAAAGGTTTAAGACTGAATTGGCAAACTTAAAAGGTTGAGGACTGAATTGGCCACCGTACAATAGATTTAGGACTGATTTGATAATTTTCCCTATTATACACCTAGCCGATACTTACCCGATACACAACACGGCATAAGAATATTGCCACATCCTAAAAGGATTAGCCGTTGATTGATGTAGCATCTTTCTCGGGAAAAGCATAAAGAAAGTACATCTAAAAATCCAAGGACGGATTGATAGCGATCATTTAAGTAGATACCTGGGTGGGACATGAAGGTTTCTGGTTCAGAGGGTTTTGGCGCGACCTTCGATACCTGACGGACTACTGATGGGGTCCAATGTCGTGAGTATCTCTCTCTCTTGCAGCAACACCACCTGCCTCAGAAACCCTACCGCTTTCACTCCACCTTTGCCCGTGTTCAACGATAGAGTAGCTGGTCGAATTGAGATTTGGGTGCAGTTTTTCGTAAGTAAGTTTTGTACCGAGGACGTCGGACTACGGAGGGATCCACGTTCTACTGGATTAAACTAGAAGCACTTTGCTATCTTCTTCTCAGACGGGTTAAAATTAAAGATGGGAAAGAATTCTCCTCATAGCTCAAATACCCTTTTAACGTAGGTTGGACGAGATCCACATCGATCATGAACTCGACCCGACTCTACTTGCACATGCTTTGTGCTCGATACAACCCAAGCTCGGTTAAACAGTAAATTTCTTTCTGGAGTTCCACTCGAATAGAAAACTAAGATATCCGAGCTTGAGACGATTACAGTTGAGTTATCGATGAATTCAAAAGCTCAAACTTATTAGTCATTTTCTCTTAATAGTGTGTGTAGTATATAATTTCAGGAATTGATAGGTCTACTTTTAAACGAACCGACCCACTTCACGTTGGCCAAGCCCCAAAAAGAGTATTCGGAGTATTCATACAATATGGTGACCTTTTAAAAGTGGGTGTTTAGGACTTTCTTATAAGATGTGAGACTTGAGATGTCACAAACTCTCTTACTTAAAGAATTGATGTTCTCGTTAGTTTTGGCCCGTATCAACTAGCGGTACACCCCTTATCCTATATGTGGTTTGGTCTTCGTTTACTCCTAGCCATCCGCTATTTTTGAAGCCTAATAAAAGGTGCACATTGTTCAAACCCTCTTGTCTCAAAGATCACTTTGCACCTTCTTGGAGTCACATATGGGCCTAGACTTTTCATGAACCATGCATCTACTAGAGAGAGTCTTGCTTTGATACAATTTGTAGCGACTCAGTCGTTCTATGTGGATCAAGCTCTCAAAGAAGTATTCTGAGTTATTACACAAGATGATAACCATTTGAAAGTGGGTGTTATTTTACGTATCACTCAACAAGACTTTTCTCATCTAACGTGAGTCTTGGAATGTCGCAACTTCATCATTACTTAAGAATTTCGAGAAAATCGATCCAAGGTGGCTTAGATTTGCAAATCTGTCAAGTTGAGTATTGACAAGCTTGATAAATAGCTCGAGCTCAAGCTCTTGATATCATCATAATCATCAATGTCTCGATTGCAATAGTAGCTTGAATTAATTTCAAACCCTATAATTACGCTAATGGATCATTGTAGACACTCTTGCTCGGTAGCCTATCTGCATTAGCTTTTAATCTTGACTCTTCACTTTTTGTTTAATTTAAATTTCGCAATTCACGAGCTCCGAATTTCTTCAAATTTGAAGCTTTTGAAACTTTCACAGCACTCCATTATTGGCAAATAGATATGAGTACAATCTTTTCATATTTTCTAAAATCTAAATAATATTTCAGTTGTTCCTCCTCCTAATTTAAAGGGGACTTCGCTCTTACATGGGCCTTCGTGGCCTGTCCCATCTTATGAGAGAGGATTTTCACGGATGCGTCTCTTATTTTAATATATCAGTACCCGCACGTCATGCACTCCCAATCTTTTTATATCTTTATCATTCTTATGAAATGGAAATACCCTCTTAAGTATTTTTCATCCCGACGATCCGAGATCGATTCTCGTACGGAGCTTCTTAGGGGTCCAAAGGGGACTTTACTGTATTCTTTTCTCTCTGTCCAATAATTCAACTTTCTACAGTTCTTGGAATCCGCCGACACGGTAGAAACTTCATCAAACTCTTCCAACCTTAACACACACACCCTCTCTCCCTCTCTCTCTCTCTCTCTCTCTGTCTGGAAAGCTCTTTCACCTTCCCTCCATCTCCTTCCTCAAACTCACGAATCCCTCCCGCCTTCTACTCACCGTAATGGCACCCGCAACTGCATCGCCAAACCCTAATACCACCCGCCACCTTAACCACCAGATGAATCCCCACTTCCGCAAGCTCCTCTACGTCCCAAACGAAGAAGACACGCCACCCCTCCTCCAAACCCCCGCCAACGTCTCCGCCGCGGCGCCACCGTCAGCGTCCATCAGTAAACCCCCACGGCCGCCCCTAGCCAACGCCCCCTTCGACTCCTCCGTCGGCCTCGCCGTCCTCGTCCTCCTCACCGCCCTCTTCTTCATGGGCTTCTTCTCCCTCTACATCCGCCGCTTCGCCGAGGGCTCCGAAGAAGCCGCCGCCGCGGCCTCCTCCCGCCGCCGCCCCCGCCGCGACCCGGCGGGGCCAAGCCCGCCGAACTCCACCCGGGCGCCGCCGGGACGCCCGTCGTGCCGGGCGGCGCGCAAGGGCCTCGACCCCGCCGTCATCCGGTCGCTGCCGGCGTTCGCCTACGGCGGGGGGGGCGCCAAGTACCAGGCGGACTGCGCCGTGTGCCTCAGCGACTTCGAGGAGGAGGAGGTGGTGAAGGCCATCCCGTGGTGCTCGCACGTGTTCCACGCGGAGTGCATAGACCGGTGGCTGTGCGCGCACGCGTCGTGCCCCGTTTGCAGGGGCGCGCGGCTGACGGAGGCGAGCGGCGGATCGAAAGCCGGCGGGGCAGAAGGATCGAGTGCGGTGGGGAGCACGGAGGCTCGGAGCGCGAGCGGGCTCGGGGGCGGATCGACGGCGGCGAGCGGGGACACGTGTCTGGAGATCGGGGACGGAGGAGGGGTAGGATTGAGCGTGAGGAGGAGCAGTAGTTGGTCGAGCTTAGGGGAGGGGGGCCGTTCCTTGCAGAGGATGATGAGTTTCTGAGGGGTGGGCACGTACTGTTCCGTACAGGCGTTTTTTTTGGCACGTGTGGATGTATAAATACTGTAAAGGATAATGTAAAGAGGTTGTTGGCTTTGAACATTCATAAATTTTTGTATACTTGGGTTTATCCCAGTGGTCACCCTTCTCACTTAAGAAGGAGGAGGTGGGGAGTTCGAATCCCCACCTTCGCAGGGGTAGGGGGTGGGGCCACGTAGTTTAAGATGTGGGTTTCGACGCCCACGCCCTGCAAGAGGTGGTGGGGCGCAAGTCTGAGTGTATATCGTGAGTGAGAGATAGAGTAGGACCGACCAAAAAAATAAAATATTATTCACTCATCGGTCTACATGGGCAAAACTACACTTGAATTCGTTAAAATAAATACTGATTTCGCAGACTTTGCATCTTGATTAAAGCTATTAGACCCGATCATGGGCAGGCAGGCTTTGGCAAGCCGAATGGACTCCCCTGCCCGTGGTCATCTCCAGGATCGACTAATCCGCACATGTTAATGGCTCTACTAATCAAAGGAGATCGATATTGTATCCTAGCAAGTTCGTCCCGGTACGTGATTAGCGTGGACGATCCGGGCTATAGATCACCAGAGCAAGGTCATATCTAATTTCTTGTGGCGTTTCATAACCAAAGATCACCAGAGAGAGATGAAGGCAAAGGCAACTATGATCATCTTGTCAACACCCTCATAAGTTATAATACATTCCTTTCGTGACAGAGTCACAAATAATGTTCAAAAAAATAGCTTGAAAAGGTGGGGGGCAAAATCAATTCTATTCTTATTTGGGAATTAATGCTTGCACGCTCCACCTTTTTACAGACTACAGCCAATTTTTTTTCTTTTTGGTTCTCTGTACTGAACCCAACCGTTGCTCGGAAGACACGTGGCATCGACCGGAGATAGAAGTGTGAAGCCAAAGAAGACATTGAACTACAGGACTATCACAACCCTCACCCTGTCTGGCGGGCATCAAACTCGGGTTCTTGTAAACCTGCACAGGATGACAGAATCACCATGAATCTGATTGATTCTGTGAAATATGAATACAGCCAGAACCAGATTCAATGTTCTTAGCCATGCCCTCCGATTTGCCACCATGAACGAGAACGACTTTTCTCAACCACCCTCCCAGGTATCATTGTCTTAGCTGAGACTCATCGCAGCATTCTTGTATGGCATTTCGATTTATGGGTAACTAATTCTTACAGCACAATTCACACAATCATTGATTCTAGTAGAGATGGAGCACAAGAGCGTCAGAAAGAACAATACCTGAAGGAGTCTTGAGCAGGCGTGAGCAATGTAGTTGTCAGTAATGTGATATTTCCCTCCCTTCCCTTACAGCTATGAAATAAAATAAGCACGTATAACCTCAACAACAGGTGCCCGGCACATTGGGCACTTCCCTTGACCCTGAACTAAGTCATTCGCGCATTTGGAACATGTGCACATGTGACCACATCTGCAACATGGAGCATTTATATAAGCAAAGAGACGAGGGATTGGAGCAACAATGAGCTCAGATCATTCAATTTATTGACGCCCCAAATCTGCATCGGGAAGATAAGACTTCAGCAGTTACCTGTACAATAAAGAATCGATGTTGTTGTCGCGACATTCACAGCAAATTCCTTTTCTCACAGAATCCCACCTAGATTCGTCATTCATGAGACCGCCTTCACATGCACCTGCAACAGACAATGTGACATGAGAATTGCTTGACCACAGAAGATGGAAGATGTCCCAATTTGCAGGCAACTGCAAATGCCAAATAGGCCTATCGGCGTCTAAAGCAATTAACGAACATACAGTATCTACCACAAGAACATAAACCTATGAAGAAAAGAAAGAACCTCCAGTTTCATACGCTGAAAAGATTTGGTGGAGGGAAAACATCAAATATCTAAATAACCGCAATCTTTAAAAAGGCAAACCTTGTGAGCCCGCTGGGCGATTTAGAGCAGCTGACACTTCTTGCTTAATTGAACGTTGCAACTCAAGTTGCATGTCCATGCAAGCCTCAAGCATCCTTTGCATATTATTCATCCGCTGCTGAAGCCGAGCCATATCCACCCTCAAATCATTGATGATGTCCCATTCCTGCCACAAGTGCACAAATTCATCCGATAAATTTAGGGAATGCTAAAAGGTGCAACTATTCTGAAATATCACGACACAAGACCTCAAACATCCAAATATCCACTGAAAATGAAGACGAGCAACAGAATAAAATCGCTCAAACTTTGACAAGCAAAACATTGATGTTTATTTTTAACTAGCAATTCTCAAAATCAGAAGGCACAACCTATTTCTAAAACAAAAGTTTATCATCAAGGTTTGTCAGAGAAGAAATTAAAAACAAGATTTCGATTTTCGCTAAACATTCAGGCATAGAGCAATTTGAAACTTTTGTGAAGATCCTGATCTGGCCTTAAGGAAAATCTTTTCCATGGCCAACTATTTTACATTTAAACCGGAACCACGGGTGGAAACCCTCTCCCCATCTACAAAATGCAATAAAACCAACACAATGTAGTGATGTTGAACTGTAAACCCTGAAAGGTCTTTTTTTTTTCTGTTCTAAACATTAAAAATATATAAGCATAAATAAATATAAACAACTAGAAAAATGAAGTTACAGCTAGATCCGACAGAGAATCATGTTTGTGTCAATGACATTAAAAAAAATGAAAGTTCCAAGATTGACTCAGAAAAACAACATACAACTCCCAGGTGTTGATGAATGTCATGCTGTGGCCAACCATCATGGTGCAAGTCCTCGTCCCAGCGTGACTGAATTGAGGGTGATGGAAATGGTGGTAGAGAAAATGAGGGGTTCTCAACAGCATCCATTTGAGCATCATTTTCTCTACTCATCTGCTCAAACTCCTCCTCTGCAGTTGCAGGGGGAGTAGGAGATGTACCCTGCAACTCCCAATCTGCAGAAGCTTGACCTTGCCTTTCTACATATGATTGTATCAGTTGGTCAAGACTCTCACGAAATCGACTGTGAAGAAGATTAGATACACTCCTCCTGCACACCAACATAATTTCTGTCATTTTTTAATTCCCACTATAAGGGCCAAGCAAACATAAAACTACTGTTAAAGAAAATTCTTACCTACTCAGAAGTTCCCTGAGTTCCGTGCTATACACATTATCATCATCTGGCAAATAAAATGTGCCAACTCTTCCGCTGGAAACATCTCCCTGCTCAGAATGACCTTCAGACCAACTCTGCCCATCCTCTTGGACACCATGGATCCCATTTTCAACCTCATACTCCATTCGAGGGCTACCTTCCATGTCCTCATTTGCATCTCGGTCTTGCGACCATTCATTAACAGTGGTTTCTGAGGGAGTTTCATCAAAAACCTCACCAACACTGCCAATTTGTCCATTAGATTGGGCACCTGCTTCATGGAGATCCCTCCCTTCATTTCCCGAGCGGCTTTCTTGCCAATCTTGAACTTGGATGGCTGAAACTCGCCATCTTACATTTTCAGCAGCATTTTCATCAAAAGAACTTGTCTCTTCCAATAAAGAATGGACAGAGTTTCCCTCTCTTACCGTCTCAGAATGACAATACAGTACTTCGCTTACTTGATCCGAAGGAGCAGGTTCTCTAGATTCAATCTGCAAATCTCTAGACGGTCCGTCACTACTTTCATTGACCTCTCCATCAACCATATCAGTCGATCCAGCAACAATTGACATTTGACTATTCCTGAATTCATTTACAAGCCCTTCCTCTGGCCTTCCTTCAGTGTTAGCAGCGGATCCTGCCCCTTCGCCAATGGTACATTCTACTCCATCAATCTGATGTGAAGAAGCATGGTCTGGGACATCAATTTGCCCAATTTCATTTGGTGACCGATCACCACTTTCATGTGAGTAACTATCTGCCTGACCACCGCCCACATCAGTCAACTGAACAGCAACTGGCTGTTGCCTGTTTTGTGACTCATTTGCTAGCACTTCAACCTGCCTTTCTTCAGCAACATCCACGGATCCAATTTCTTGATTAACGGATCCTGAATTATCTCTACCATGTGACAACTCATGGGTATTTCTTTCAGCATTTGAAGGCCGAGTTCCTTCAGGATTACCATCCATGACCATGGGCAAATTATTTGGGCCACCGTGTCCTTGCTGATTATCATTGATTTCATTGCTAGAAGAGCTATCAAAGTCGGCGCTCACTTCACCACTGGCAGAGTTGTCCAATCTAGAAAGAAATCCTTCCCTGATTCATAAATGAGGGGAAAAATTACCAGGAATGAGAAATGGGAATGTTAAAACTAGTTAATCATCATGAATATAATGGAAGAACAGGCTGTAAATGCAATATAAAGAAACAAAATACAATATACTTAAACAAAAAAAAAAACTGCTCCAAGTTCAAGGGACATAAATCTAAAGTTCACGAAGCAATCAAGACAAGACAACATACCTGAGACCAGAAACCGTCTGTCTTTTCCTTAATAATCCTAGTTCGCTAGCCGCCAGGGAACTGGTTCCTTCATTCAGTGTCCTCTCATTTCGCAAAAATCTACCCCTAAGCAATGACTGCACATGAACACACAGTACATCAGTTAATCTCAGAAAAAAACCAGCTATGCAACAAGGTTCTGATCTTCTACTTTCACAGTTTGACATGGGAAGACTGCGATGAATGCAAAAAAGAAGAGCAAGAGGAAGACATGGGCGCTTATTTGCTTCACCAAGATTCGTAGACTTAAAGAACTAAGTAGATCAGCCGAACAAGAGATTGTTAGGCCTGTCTACATGTCATAATATACAAGTCCTCGCTCTTCAAAAAGGTTGAAAAGCAACTGTGAAAGCTTTGCAGTGAAGAAGAGATTCAGAAGTTCAGTTCAGTTTAAAGAATACTCTTTAGATCCAGCTTCTTCAACTACTGCTCCAGCAAAGGAATCATTAATAAGTGCAATTTCCATTATCTGTACCACTACGTCATTGATTCAAATTTTATGAATCCAAAAATGTAAGAGTCGATATTGACATCTAAAAACTAAGATATGAATAGCCAAACTTCCAACAGAGATACACTATATGCACCTGAATGCGGTTGCGATGAGCAAACTGCGAAACCGGCTGCTGCTGCAATAATCCCTGGATCTCTCTTTGCCTTTCTCTCTCTGATTTCTTCAACATGTCAAGTAGAACCTGTCTGCCGCATACTCTACGAATGCCTCGCCTGATATTGTCAACTCGGACTTCATTTTCATTCACAAGCAAGCCATCGCGCACTCGTTCAATTTGAGCACCAATTTCAGCAGCCTGCTCTTCTCTGCGGTCACCACAAGGACCTGTCTGACTATTTATCTGTACCCACTCCCTTATTATTCTAACCCTCTCCTGCTCAGTTTCCCCAAGCCATTGTGCCCTTGGATGATCAGTAATGTGAGAAATGTTGGGTGCGCACTCTCTCACACCACTGTTCATCCATTCCCGAAATATTTTCCTCACTCTTTCTCTTTCGGTTTCTCCAAAATCAGAAGACTGCTCCTGGCTGAGATTGTTGTTTTCCAAAGCCTCATTTTGCGACGCAGCCTGACTGTCAGACCATGTTCCAGACTCATTCCCATTCTCAACCACATCAATCTCACCTTCTTCACAGTGACTCTCAAAACTGTTGATACTTGAGAGATCATTAGTCGAAACGTCACTCGCTTCATGGATCAATCCTTCGCCAATTCTCTCTTGACGGCTCACCGCATGTTCATCCTCAAGCTCCCGCCACATTTGCAGGGTGGAGGACGCCCGAGTGCCCGGCATCCCATGGTCAACCCGTCCTCTAGATGCCGAAGATTGAGAATCTCTGAGGAAAGAAGAATCGAGCACCGAAACATTGTGCAGACCTGCAATAGCCATCTTCCTAACTTAAAAATCAGACCCTTCAGCCCATCTGCTTCGAAAGCATAAAAAGCGCACGGATTGGGGAATCATATCCCAGCGGAGAGGGTTCCATCAGAATGAGGCCATCATTGCATCCCAGATAGAGCTCCTTATTGTCCACAACTCGCCACCGAGACCACCAGAGATCTGACGCTCAACAAACTTCGCTGCTACAAACGCACAGAGGAAATTAGATGCTGTCTGCACACTTTTTAATCATCAGACGCAACAAATATCTTTCCATATTGCATTAACTGTTCGGTTCGACATTCTCTAAGCAAGCCTACGTTACAACAAGAGCTCGCATAACTCGAGCAAAAGATTCACACAACAGAACAGAACAAAAAACCAAATAAAATAAAAATGGGGGGGAAATCCCTCCTTCAACACGCTGAAAAAAAGAACGGACCAAACAGAATCCAAACAACCACTCAAAAATCCAGAACCTTAACTCCAACGAACGGCGCTGCTACAGCAGAACAATAAATCGAACCTGGGAAGCCCAGATTTGTCCCGAATCTGCGAATCCGGCAGGGGAAGAGCCTCGAAGGAAAAGACCAGGCCCGTCGACAGAGCTCGACACCGAGGCATCTCGAGCTTCCTAACACCTTAAACAAATCCACAAATCCCAAATCAACAGGCCGAAAAACAGATCATTTCCATCACTTTTCCCCTCCCCGGCCACGAGAACAAGCTATCGTCATCAAACCGACACCTAAAAAAAAAACGGCTTTCGAATCACGAAACGGATCGGGGTGTAGAAAAAAAAAAACAGAGAAGAACACCCACCAAAAACACGTATCCCCCGAATTCACAAACGGACCCAACTCCCCCGAAGCGTTCACGCGCATTTTGGGAGCGAATTGGAAGAACACCCGTACCTTCCGAGCTCCCTCGCCTTCGATTTCCAAAGCAGAGAAAGGGGGAAACCCTAACCAGCCGGGCAAGAAAGCTACAGGGGAAGAGAGAGGAACAGAGAGAGAGAGAGAGAGAGGGGAGGAAGAAGGGGAGATGTCAAAGCGGGCAACGAAAAACTTGAAGGAGGTCTCTTAGAGAGAGAAAGCGACAGGAGGAGAGAGAGAGAGAGAGAGAGAGGGGTGAGCGGCGATTTGGAAATATTAAATGGGAAGGGATGGGAGGGGGAGGACACGTCACCCGGCTCCCTCAAATTTTTGCCGTAACACTAACGTCTATAAAATCAACCTCGCGAGCCACTGCGGACCGCCACGTGTCCCCCCCGTTCCCTTTTCCCTCCCGCACATCCTTAAACGTAACGAAAGTGGGAAGCTTTGATGGGGGGGGGGGGGGGGCTCTGTCTCCTTTTCCCGACCGCGACGAAAACGCCGTCGTACTCTTTTGGAGATATCTGACGAAACGCACTCAGCAACTAATGGTCAAAATGCGTACCTGTTTTTTTAGTGAGAGGGGTTTCGTAAATTTTGTATGGGAAATCGTGATATGGAGCGACGCATGTCCTTAAGTTGTTTCGTCCAAACTCTGAGATGTATATAATATTCGGGAGTATTCCCTGAGGAGAGGGAAGAAAAACTTTATCTCCAGTTGGAGAGCTGGGCGTGTGGACACCGGCACGTTAAAAATAAAGAACGCGGTCATGTTAGTTTGCCAGGGCATATGCACCTGGACAGGCGGGGCGGCTCCAATTTGAAGGTCTGGCTACCCTTCGGTAATCACCACCGAAGATTTAAGGCAGGCCCTTAATTACCGAAGGAGGTACCTTTCCCGATCGCAACAAAAACGCCGTCGCACTTTTTGGGAGATATCTAGTGAACGCACTTTTTCGTAACTAACGGTCAAAATGCATACTTTTTTTTAATGAGAGTTTCGTAGATTTTGTATAAGAAAACGTGCGAGTAATGCGATGATCGGAACTTGGCCCGATCTCGGTATCTCAAGGAGCATGTTCGCGAGCAACGTCGACGTGTAGTGCTCAATCATTTGTGCTAGAAATGATAAATTTACAGGTTTGATTTTTCCTTTGATGGGTGATGTTATGAGATAGTGCTTTTGAATATGTGCACTGTCTAAGAAACGACTAGTGATATTGAAGTGGTGATGGTTATGCTTTCATTGTCGTTAACCACATCATATGTCATTGGTAGATAGAGATGACCACAAATTGCTACGTAATTGCCCGTTTTGTAGATAATAAGCATGCTTGCTGAGTATAAGGACAACAATGCGACGTGACATTATTTTTTTTTCCCAGACTTTGTACATCATTTTCCGGATATAATGAGTTTATATCCTTTTTTTTCCCCCCTTTCCTAAGTATTCCTTGCGAATTTTCTTTTTTCAGCATAAATAGGGAGTTGGTGGTGCCACTTATCAATGAGCTCAAGCGCATTTTATTTAAAACCATCTTCTTGGATAAAATGTTGGTTGAGCCAATAGATGGAAGGTTTGAGCTTTGTACCTACTTTCAACCACCTTTCCTCCTCGATAAATAGCTAATAAATGGCATTGTAACAATCAAATTGCAGATTATAATTAATCTTCTTTTGCTTTCCTATCTTGTGACAAAGTGAAATCTCACCCAAAGGTTGCACATGTTCTAAAGTACGATCAAAATGCTCTTTTTTACTTAAGTTAATTTACGATTTCAATTCCTTTATTTTTGTTAGAAAATACAAACGATAACTTTAGCTAGAAATGTATCAGGTCGAGGAAAAATCCCATTATAGATTTTTGGGGTCAAAAGGAGCAACTGATGAAAGCTATTGGCTTATAACTCAGTGAATTAAGCTTTGGAACAAAGATCGGTCTAATTTTATGTCAATGAACTTAAGTCTCCAGATCTCTCTTGACATTTTCTCATTATGAATATATTGGGAGAGATACTTAGATGCATCCGATGCAGTGAGCCAAGCTCATATACACCCTTAGATCAAGTGGGTCCAACGTGGATATCGGCACGTTGAAGGCCACATATCGAGTGCATGCATGAATTTTTTTTTTTTCAATTTTTTGAGTGATCCTATGTGAAATCCGTCCTCTCCCATTTGGTTGTAGTATCGGGATAGACTTGATCTATGTTCATATAATGAATTTGGACAAAAATGTCTCCTTTTTACTTACTCCCCGTACCAAGGTCTCAAAATCCTTGGGAACCTCCATTAATAATATGTGATCAAAGATCAAGAGCACCATACCCAACATTCAAAAGATAGCAAGGACATCTAGGACACCTGACCAATCCCTACATGATCTAAGTGACCTTAGAAAAACCCACATGGTTTGTATCGAGATTAAGCCCTCATCAGCTTGATTTTTGTCCTTTTCTTTTCCGGCAACATTGTATGACAAAGGTCCTAACATGGGGAAAATATGACCACCCTTCCTTGCCCACATGTCCCTGCTCTCCCTAGCAATATATATGGAGTAGGAAGCCTCTTATTAAAACCTCTCTCTAAATTAAAAAAGAAGTTCAAAATAGGGAAGGCCCATCTATGTATAAAAGATCTAAGGAAAGAAACTTCCTTTTCTTCGAAGTGATGATTCGTTCTCATGAATACCAAACCAAAGCCTGTGAAGTAGGAGTCCCACCACATGCAAGATACCTTCTTTAGGGTCATTATTTCATGAGTAACTCCCATTGAATACAGTGTATAAATGCATCCCCTTTAGATAGTTTGGCCCCTTCCCTTTGTTCTTTTATTTCTCCCCATTATGTATCTTATCCCTTTGCCTTCCAAATAAAGAACTACCACATAAAGGGGGAGAAGAGCACATTTTCCTTTCTTTTCTTTTTTTCATTTTTTTTTGGGTTAGGATGTACATTGTCTCGACTCTCGATAACCATAAAAACCAGTATCTCATCGCAACCATTGGCTAAGAACCAATCCCTAGTCTGTCACCGGTACCATTGCACTGACCCATTCGTGAGAATCAAAGATGAATACTTGGGTATAGAATGAGAAACCATGAGAGAAAAAATATAGTTAGGATGAGAAGCATAACTTACAACTAACGAACTATAAGAAGATAATTATAGAATTACAAAGGGTATGTCGACCTCCTATATATCAAGAACTTCATGTACAGAGCCACATGCAATTTTTGCAATCATTTCATGTTATCATTCTTACGCTTATACATCAACTTCGTACTTAGTTCATTGAGAGGCTATTTGGTGTGGCAATCCCTCAACAGTTTCAACCGTTGAAAAATGGGTTTTAAGTGTTTAGCAAACATTGTATGGCAGCAGCACCTCCACAGTTACACTATCTTATTGTGTCTTTTAGTAAATTGAGCCACCCGACTTCAAGGTGCCACAACTCAAAGGATACATCATCAAACGCATAATTTGCAGCAGTTTGTAGCAGCGTCACAGCACAGCATAGGTACGACATAACCATGATCTTACCAAACCAAACTGACTCAAATCTGCACCTAATAACGTCCAAATCGAGCCATGTTATCATTTTGGATCTGAATTTATCAGTCTCTCGACCCCGAAACCCTAATAGAGCAAGGAAGAAAAATATCTTCCTAGATCTTTTGGCCATCACTTGATATGAAAGGGGAAAAAAGATGGGAAGAGAAAGTTAAGGCATGCTTACTGCATGCCCTTTTGGAGACCTACCCCAAGGGAAAGCACCCCGACTTCACTGTTGTTTCATGCTCTGCATATGAATACTTCCATTGATCCTTCACATCAAATCATTTAAGGGGGCCAGGAAGCCCCGCAGGGCATAATGTGATCGTTCCTCTTTTGTCATATCATTGCAGCATTTCGACGATTATCGTCTCTTTGCTCCTACCGAATGCATGGTCTAGCTTGAAGGATTGGCTCTCTTCATTTGTCGTTTTGCCACATCCATAGATGAAATGCTGTCGATTTTATCGTTTTGCTATTATTTTCCCATAATTCATGATCGAAAAACTAAAGGGTATAGAGAAAATCTGGACATAGGATAAGTACGAGATCATGTGGCGAATTGGTTGCGGGAATAAATTCGAATGACTAATGAAAAGAAAGGTATATATGAGGAGACAGAGATGTGATCGAGATGTAAATTATCGTGGATGAAGATCTGAGTTTTTTCGATGACTTTTTCGTGAAATAGATAGTGATCTCGCGTTGTAATAAGTGGCCGACTCTTTTTTATCTTGAATTCCAAATTCTACTATATATCAACCCAGAGGGTCTTAAAAATTGAGTAATAGCATATTTCTTGTTGCCCGAAAAAAAAGAAAACATATTTGTTATCAATCAATCTTCTCGCATATATATAGTCGGTTCTTACGCGTTGAACATATCATATACAAAGTAACTTTACTTAATGACAACATGATGCCGGAATGATAAATAGAGTAAAGATGAGAATAAGGAAAAATTACCGAAAAAGTCATAAACCTATGGCACTTTTGCTAATGCAGTCTTAAACATTTTAATTGTGTCAATTCAGTCCTAAATATTTTCTTGTTCGGCAAATTGTGTCCATCCAGCCAATTTGATTGGAAATTACTGACGTGGACGCTGGCCATGCTCTATAATTTGGAGTCGTGGTGGAAGAAAAGGGCATGAAACCAACAATAGGTCAAACAGTCTTCAATTGTGGTAACACATGCTTTGTAATTTGGAGTTTATTGTGTAGTGTCTTGTAGAAGGGAAGAGCTCATATTTTTGTAGTTCTGGCCTGATTAGACCTGTTTGTAATCTTGATTGAAGTTGGTTAGTAGATACTGTCGCCCCGTTGATATTTTCTCTTTCCACACAGAAAGGGTTTCGATGTTAATCTTTTTGTAATAGTATATAAAAATAACGCTCGTAAAGAGCCCCATTGAAGCCAAGAAGTAAGGTCTGCCTGCCATCCACACCAGAATAAATGGAGTTTTCCAAAAAAAAAAACCTACTGGCGGAGGAACCATTCTCTTGGATTGCTCTCTCGTTGCTTCCGTTGTTGTTATTGTGGTTGTTCTTGACTGGCATGATGGATTGGATTCTAGAAAAGAGAAACCAGCCAGGTATTTGATGGAAAACAAACAGAACAATATGTTGTTCCGAAAGTCGATGAACAAAGATGGCCCTTTTTTTTGTCTAATTAATGCAAGATGAATTAGAACTGAAAAAATGCCATGCAGTTGGGTAGTCAAGTCACTTGAAGAAAGTAATTTTGCCCCAAATAGGATGAAAATGCAGGGAGAAAATGAGCATAAATTGTTGCGGAACATTGCAACTTGGAATTGGAGGAAAAAAAACAAACAAAATCACTGGCCCGTGTGTGGATCGAGACACTTCGTTTGTAAATTTCCTAGAAATTTCCATGAATCTTCCGACAGATATACTTTAGAAATTACTCATATTGTCTCCATGGGAAGTTGAATAGGAGTGACGATGACATCGAATCTCATCCAACATTCAGACACAAACGCTACTCCGTCCCCGACACGTGTCATCGTGCCAGTTTGCCTTACGGTCTTCGGTCGGCAGTGCGTATTTGAGCCAGAAGAATTGGGACACGAATGGTCACTGAACGTTGGCTCAATATGCAATGTGATCCCTGAATTTTTTATTTGTTCAATGTGGTTCTGAACTTAACCTCGACGTGCAAAGTCATCCCCAAACTTTTAATTTGTTCAAGTGTGGTTTATGAACTTTTGGTACCTGTTTAATTTAGTCCCTGAACTATATGAAAATGTTCAAAATTGTGTCTCACCTTGAATTAATTGAAGGACAACATTAAACATGTACCGTTTTGGTCCATTGGTACTTTGCAAGGTTTTGACCAAAATTTGGGTTCATTTGGACTTTACACCAAAGTCGTGTCAGTTGGGACTTCATAAGGTTCGAACCAAAATTTGTGTCCATTTAGACTTCGCATGGATCAAAACTAGTGTCCATTAGAAATTCGTAAGGTTTGGACGAAAATTTGTGTCCATTCGGACTTTGCAAGTTTTGCACCAACAGTTGTGTCAATTAGGACTTTGCAAGCTTTGGATCAAAACTAGTGTCCATTGGTAATTCGCAAGGTTTCGCCCAACAGTTGTGCTGTTTATTAAAGGTCAAGAAGCACATTGAACAAATTAAACTTTCAAGGACAATATTGTACATAGGTCTAAAGTTCATGAACCATATTGAATAAACTAAAAGTTTAGAGATCACATTGCATATTGAGACAAAATTCAAGAATCATTTGTATCATTATTCCCATAAGATTTTCCATAAATCGTACTTCACTAAAACTAATTTACATAATTGATTAATCACGCTATGTAACAATCTGTAATCGAACATAGTGGAACGATTAGAATCTCTCTCCGAATCACCTACTTCGTCAACAACAAAAAAACCGCGCGCCGGTACGAGTGGCTCCAGCATTATTCGCCTAATGCGATATTGACATTTGAATTGAGATTAAGTCGTCCTTTTACGCCATTTCAGGCGATATTATACTAATCACGGCCATTTTTCAATGTAGATGAAGAGCACTAAACAAGGAAAAAAGAGAGAGAATAGCGTCGTTCCATCTAATTTACATTGACCGGGTGACTGAATTGCGGGTGTCACTTCACGTCAACCACCCTCATTTTACGGTTACCGACTAACCTTAATTAGCTGCATGAATTGGTGGGGGTTGGGTTGGTTAATCCTCATTGAAAAGGAGCCGATGACTTACAGATTTTCAAAGCAAACGCTTTAAACTTGGCGTGGACGTGATCAACCTCCCGCACGTGTCACTTGAAAGATGTTTGGCGCAACTTACATTCTTCTAAAAGTGGATGTTTTTCTCTCTGGGTAATTAATAAGGAGGCATTTAAACAGCGGAGTAAAAAGGAGCTATGGATCTAAGCAAGTCCTTAAAAAGCTCTATCTCGATTCTCGTCTGAATCTCGGGATTATTGGGATGTAAAACTTCTAAAGAGTATTCCTCCTCCCTGGACAAGACAAAGGTACATGGGAGAATTGAGAGGTGTCACGTGTGTAGATATCGACACGTTAAAATAACATATCCATAGAGCCTGCCACCACGTGAGGACATTTAAACAGATCAGTAAAAGGGATTCTCAGACATCAAAAAGAAAAGGGTGGGTATGGGCTGTTTTGGCGACCCAAAAAATGTACGATTTCAGATCATATCCAAGGTCTTGGTTTAGTTACACCATTGTACTCGATAAGCTGATGTCTTATGTCGAGCAGGTGATAGCTTTGAGGCCCAAAAGGCTTAAAATGAGTTTTGACCTAACCAAAGTCCGAGAGATTACAAGAGGAATTTCTAGAGGGTCGGCACTCAGTGTGTGTCGGATGTAGGGACTATCACATCCGGTGAGGATTTGTATAAATTAGTCGATGTCTATAGGACATGGGGATCACCATACTTAGGCTGCGGTTGGCAGTGCAAAGCCAAAGGCCTTTGGAGCTTCTTCAAAAGCCTCTGGCTCAAGCCAAATGGTGTTTGACACTTTTAAATTATAATTTAGTAAACATTACTTGCATTTTGAAATACCCCTCTAACCTAAAATTCTTTCCATTTTCTCAAAAACTTTCTCCAAAAGTCAAACCAAACACACCGTTAGTATAAATTAGTCATTTGCTCAAGGAGTCTTGGTCACCCTATTGATAAAAAAAAACACAATAGGTCAGTCGAGGAGGATGCTATTCGGGACGAAACCTTGGATGTGGCACTCCACACTAGTCAGGCAATGGCAAATGGAGTCTTGGTCACTCTATTAATAAATTTATCATAGGTGTACCAGTTTAAGGTTTTTTGTGATTAAAAAATTAATTTATGATAAATTTGTCACAGGTATATCAATTTGGGGATTTTCGTGGTATTAACCCTAGTTTTTTTCTTATTGTTCTTACCATATAGGGAAGTAGCATGTTGTTTGAAGCTTGAAGTGGGTTTGGCTTTCATTTGGTGTGATTTTATGAATTCTTGCGAGTGTAGCAGACTTTGGCTTTTCAAAAAATAAGTGTCTACGATTGTCGAAACTCATCCAATTGAAATAAAACGAAGAGAAGAAAACAAAAAATAAAAGAACAAAGAAACTGTTTGACCCGATTGCACCGTGCTCGCCGCCTAACCACTGCCAGCCCACCTTCTGTCCGCCATTGCCAAGGCGGATGCGGGTCTGTTGTCGCCCACCCTATCCCTTCTGTTGTCGCTATTTGACACTATGCTGACATTAGGGATGTCAATGGTTCGGTTCGATTTTCTTGAAACAACATCAGCGTTACACCTGGCTGGGCTAAACGCATGAAGAGAAAGGATGGGCAATGGGCAATGGGCTGTGGGCTTTCTAGATATATGAATTGTGGCCCATTGTTTTACCTTATATTTTGCCAGATGCCCTTTACAGTTTATTCATTTTGCATTAGTTTTTCCTTTTTTGGTCTGTGAAAATATATATAATCACATGTTTATTTTTTCAATTACCTTTCCATGCACGTAGACCTGACCAATCCCGATACATCCCGCGTATTTTACTTTTGCCCGTCCATTATCCCGTCTACTTCAATGCCGCCGTATTTTCTCTTTTGATTATTTGTTTGATGGGACGATAATGGTAAGTCGTGTCCTTCGCATTTATAGTCCGGCTTACACATATAGAGAGTTAAGAAGTAAGTTGATCACATTATATATGTGTGTGTATATGTGTATATGTGTATGTATCCATTTTCATAGGTATGAATTTGGGGAAGATGAAGGGTAAAGAATTTGCGGACACAATACGAATGTTTTATACATAATACACCAACAATCGATCGTACAGAACAAGAAATACAAAAATCACGAATAGTGTTCAACAATCACACTCCAATCGTTCAAAAGAAGAAAAAAGAACACACAAATAGAAAACAAAGAAAGTACAGTTGAATGAATCGAACTTTTGCAACCGGCGATGCCCTAAAGCTCGACGCGGCAGTCCTTCGTCCCGAAACTCCGCGCCCTCGTGAAGAGGGCGAGCACGGGGTGGCAATGAACCCTGAGCGTCCGATGCCACGACTTCCAAATCCCGACCTTAAACCTTACCTTGGCCCGAACCCGAACCTTGAGCTGTACCGCTCCGGACGACCTCTCGGTCCTCAGGTTTTTCGACACGCGTCTGTTTAGGGCCACGTCCCGAGCCTGCGGCATCACGTGCAACTCGGTCTCGTTCTTGTGGCGCTGAAAGAAGGGCTCGGCGATGCTGCTTGCGAGGTCCTGGTCCTCATACTCCACCGTCACTTGGATGTCGTCGTAGAAAACAGTGACCCTGTGGTTCGGGTTGTAGGCCCGTAGGGAGAGATCGAACGTGGCGTCAAGGTGGTCCTTGGTCATGTTGTAATGGTCGATGTAGGCGTCGTCAATGGTGAAAACCAGCCGTCTCGGGTGGATGACGAGCCAAATGATGAGCACGGCCAAGCCCACCAGTACGATCAGGGACAGCGAGATCAGGGCTGCGCATTTCGCAAGTCCGGATCGGCCTCTTCGCCGCAGCGGTGGCGGCGGCCACACCTGCGGTTGGCCTTGGTTGGGGGCCATGTTTCTGGGAGTTTGAAGGGTGTCTGTATGTTAACTTTGTCTTGCATGGAATTGGTGATCGAATTAGGGTTTTATACGGAACAAAAAGGTCGAGAATGTTTCGTTCATGAAGTTAGCGACAAGTGTGCCATGGAATTAAGAACATTATCTTATTGCTAAAGCTTCATCCGTCAGTTTTATATTCATCTCAATCCTTCTTTTGCTATAATTAGGAAAATGAATTAGAGCAAGGGCATTAAAGCAAATCTCTAGAAAAGAATTTATAAAATGATGCGACAAATCGAAATCGGATTGTTTAATCTTACTCGACATTGATAAAGAACTAACGTCCTCTTGAAGTCGAAGCCTATCATCAAACTCTAGCAAAATGTTAGTTATCTCTCATGAATTTGGCTGAGTATCTAGGCTTAAGTGATAGGATTAATGTCCGGATCATGATACTTCGCAGACGAAACATGGCTTCCCAAAAGAAGGAAAAAAAAAATGCCACTATGTTGCATCTCGTTCTTCGAATTGAAAACCTAAAATCATACAAATATGAAAACATTATCTAATTGTTTTCGGTTTGATCGAGTGAATCTTATACCAATCAAGACATGAATGTTTGGATTATCAAGAAGAAATTTATGTGACAATAATGAATTTTGATTCTAGGGTATTATGCATGGAAGGAATTAGTCGACCTTGTTATGATAAATGAAATAAAAGAGAAAAAGATAAAGAATCATTCTTTGGCGAGGAAGACGGAGTTCTTAAGACATCTTATATTCACTAAAATCTTCTCCAGTAAGGCAATAAACGGTTCTTGCCTTGCCTCCTACTTATTCCTCACGTTACTTGTCTTTCGCATATCTTAATCGAAAGTTCCTTTTGCTTCTTTTTTTTTCTGGGTCATGAAAGCGAAAGGATTAGCTTTGTTAAAGACGAATTTAATATGAAAGTGTAATTGGCATTGGATTATCGTTAGGGCTTTGCTAGTATAACACTTTTTGGGCTACTATTTTGTGAGCTACAAATTCTTGAAAGAGTGGACCATACAACAATTTCTAATTATTTGTTATTTATTTTTTTGTGACCCAAAACAGACTATTACTCTCACAATATATTCATGGCAGTCACATAAGCATTTCTCTTATCGCTAAGCTGGATGTTAATTATAGTACAAGATCATTGTGGAGAAAACTTCGCAAGCAAACACAATCTTTTTTAACTAAACGTTTTCTTATTGAGATAATTACCAAGAAAGTTCTGAACCTATTATACGGTAGCCAATTTAGTCATAAAATCTTTCAATTTGACTAATTTAGTTCTAGACTTTTTGACAATTCGCCAATAAAATCATTCCGGCCAATTTTGGTCGGAATTTGATAATATGGATGCCAGCTATCCTATGTAACACGGTCAATTGTTGCAAGCCTAGAGTTGAAAAGGAAAAAGTTAAGAAAACTTATTAAAATTGGGAAAAAATTATCAATGTCAGCGCTGACCTTACCATATAGGACGCCCAATGATCACATCATCGATTTCCACCAAAATTATCCAAGAGGATTACATTTGGCAAATCTTCAAAATGTTTAAGACTAAATTAGCCAAATTGAAAGGTTCTGGATTGAATTAGCTACCATACAATAGTTTTAAAACTTTCTTGATAATTTTCTTGTTTCTTTTCTAAGCCTGCTCAAATTGATTTTTTCGACCCATTCGACATTATTATTGATAAAGATGTTGGATAACGAGCCATTTACGATGCATTAATATGCCAAGTAATATGAGAGGGATAATAGTGTACGTCGTCAAAGCATAGAAGATTCCGTACAAAAACTTTCCACCTAGTTGATTCGAGAGAGTGGATAGTTTTAATCCTTTAAGTCAAGAATGAATAAAGCCGTTTTGTATAAAAATATGGATCTATATTCAATTTTTCGTTGATTATAATGGACATCGATATGCTTTCACGCAAGGGATGAATTGAGGAATGATAGGGCCCGCGCCTTTTCGCCTTTTCCTAACAAGCCGGTGGAATCAAATCCTGGCTTTGCTTCCGAAGCGTGAGCAAGCATTATGCTTGGAGCTGAAATGCTGGCACCGCTTTGAGCTGCGCAAGTAAAGGAACTACCTATACATTTTGTTATCATTTCCTATTGAAAAGATCCATTAACCTAACTAACAGAGGATTATAAACGGAATTAATTTTTTTTATTAGTTTTACTGGAGATTGGGAATAGATTGACTTTCTATAGGACCTATTTCGCTGACTGGATTTGTCACCACTTTAGCTACTTTAGCGGCTCGGCCAGTTGCTCGAGATTCCCGATTATTCCATTTCCTGATGTTAGCAATGCACTGCGGTCAAATAGGATCATTTTCTTGTCGAGACCTTTTACTTTTTTCATCACGTTTATCTACTTCTATCGACGTGGGGGGTTGGGGAAAACGCCTGTATTCTGCTACAAAATTTATTTTGTACACTGCGGGAGGTTTCATTTGGGTACTAGGTATTGGTTTCTATGGTTCCAACAAACCAACATTAAATTGAAAACATTAGCTAATCAATCGTATCCGTTGGCACTGGAAATAATATTCTATATTGGATTTCTTATTGCTTTTGCTGTTAAATTACTAATTATACCTTTACATAAATGGTTACCAGACACTCATGGAGAGACACACCATAGTACTTGTATGCTTCAAGCCAGAATTTTATTTAAAAAGGGAGCATATGGGTTTAGTTCGGATCAACATGGAATTATTGTCGCATGCTTATTCTATATTTTCTCCCTGGTCGATTACAGTAGGCGCAATCCAAATAATCTATGTAACTTTAACATCTCTTGGTTGCCGTAGTTTAAAAAAAAGAATATTCTATTCCTCTGTATCTCATATGGGCTTCATAACTATTGGAATTGGCTCGATAACTGATATGGAACTCAATGGAGCCATTGTACATTAATCTCTCATGAATTTAGCGGTGCTACTCTTTTTTTCTTGGCAAGAACAAGTTATGATAGAACACGTCTTGTTTATCTCGACAAAATGGGTGGAATACTATCCACATTCCAAAAATATTCACGATAGTATTTTTTGGAATAATTACCAACCAAAAATATCTTTTGATACCAAAAATACTTATTACTTTTGTAATGGCAATTGGAATAATATTAACTCCTATTTATTTATTATCTATGTTACGCCAAATGTTCTATGGATCTGGGTCCTATTAGAATAGGTTGTAGCCGCAAAGAGGCCATAAACTATATCCGGCTCCAGGCTAACCTTACTTTAATAGCCGAATAGCATCAATTGAATCACAAATGGACGTAGTAGCTTAGATAGATCGAAAAAGCTATGAATAGGGCTTCAATTCTTCTTTTTCCAAGGTAGTTCATGGGGGAGGCAACTAAATACAATAGGCAGCTCAAGCCGATGAAGAAGCTCAAATCAGGCTCAAGGGAAAGAGATGAATGGATAAGAACAATCCCAGATGCCATCCTCCAGTCTGATTAGGATGATGCTTGAACTGGATCCTCTAAAGGGAGTTCCACCGGGGGGTGGGGGGAAAGGATGTAGTGTTGTCTCTACTATATAATGATTGATTTTCTAGCAATGAAAATGCAATATCCGATGTGGTTAGCTCGAGTGAAGGAACAGAGACAAGTAGGCCGGTTTTCCTGCACCATAGCATGGTGATACCCTCCCGACCCCAATAAACGACCCATCGGATAGCCTAGACCTCAAAGACTGCAAAGTATATGACAAGGTCAAAGCTATTATATTTAATTATTTGTATCAATAAAAAGAAATAATCAAAAAATAATCCTTATATTATTTTTAATATTTTCGTTGTACAATGAAAAAAAGTCTTTTTTCTCTTAGGTGAGTTAAGTAATAAATATTTGGAATTGTAAACAGACATTTTTTGTCTTTAGGAGAACCTTTTGAATCAAGTGTTGTAGTGACTTAAATGGTTCTCGACAGTCTACATGAATAGGAAGTTTTCTTGTCTTCTATTCTTACTTATTTCTATATTCTATGTCTATTTAGGCTTGTTATATGTTTGAATTTGTCGGGATTTTTTTTTAATTTAATTAGATCTTAATGTAAAATAAATGAACCGTGACTATGTAATCCTATTCCTAAAAAATTGACTCCAAAAAAGCATATCCAAATTACAAGAAAGCCCATAGAAGTCACAATTGTGCACTTATAACTTTGCCAATTTTATTTGTTCAAGTATGTAAATAAAGCACAAATAGGGTCCACGTAATAAATGCCCAAGTTTCCTTTGGGTCCCAATTCCAATATCACTCCCATGCCTCATTAGCCGATACTGCTCCTGAAAGAATACCTATGGAATAACGTGCGATCTTACACGAATCCTACTCGGTCCGACGATCTAGATTGAATGTGTTAGGTTCATGCAATAACTTTCTCATGCAATCCTCTTCCTGAAAGCTGGTACAGACCCATTCGCTTGGCGCTTTATCCACCTACATGAATCCTATTTGATCTAACGATCTAGATTGAATGTTTTCTAAATTCATACAGCACTTTCTCGTGCAAGCCTCTTCCTTGTAGACCTATGTGCTTGGTACTTTCTCCACCTACCTAAGGTTGATTTGTTTTGCGATCTTTGTCGATATCTTAACAAATCTCAATAGTTGATATTTAGTCATAAATCTCACAATTATCCACACTCACATGGATAAAATGTTTTGGATAAATGAGACATCCAAATGAAAGAGAACGGGGATAGTGAAGCCATTATTATTTCATACATTCAATGTGCATATGTATTGGTGCTTTTCAACTTTTAGATTATATGAGCGTCACGAGAATCTCAATGTTGAGAAAAATGGCTACATATAATATATATTGTATATTCATACGAGAAAACTTTTATGGGGAAATCTTTGATTGATTTATTCAGACATACCAGCAAGAGAATTCTGGACATAATGTGAGAATAATGACTAAGTAATCCAATCCAGTTAACATTGTATGTTATGTCCCGACCAGAAAAAAAAAACATATTCAATGTTATGTCTCTTCCAATTCCATAAACATATCTTTGTAAAACAAGAATATATACTTGATTAATTAAGGAAAAATTACCCAATTAGTCATAAACCTATTTTACAAATGTTAATTCAATCCAAAACTTTTCAATTTTGCCAATATAGTTCTTTCATCCAATTGCCGTCGAAAGTCGTAGACATGGCAATCTATAAGATGTCCACGTCATCATGTCACATAGGATGACCGGTGATAATTGGACGCTACATTAGCAATTTCCGGCCATAGTTGATAGAAATGACTACACTAGGATCTATGCAATAGGCTTACAACTAAATTGGTATCCATCAATTTGTCATTTCACATATGTAACGACTGGACCCAATATTGGCGGAGATTAATTGTCGGTGTTAAAGGCCTCCAACAAGGTGTGATTCTTGGTAGATTTCTAGGAAAATTAAGGGAGCAAGAAGTTTATCATGAAATGCAAGGATTACTCTCCTTTGCAAATTTCCAGGTAGCCCATTGTTTTAGAGAGGCCAACTCAATGGTGGACTGGATAGCCAAAGCTCATAATTTTTGAATTGGGTATTATCTCCTCCCCAAGTCCTTTGGGGTCTCCTATGTACTGAAGACCATTTATCAAGCCCAAATATTTTTCTCTAGTTCAATGAAACATTTCACTTTCGGACCAAAAAAAGAAAGAACCAATCGAATTGCACATCAATAAGGAGAAAGTGTAATAATAGATGCATCTTCATTTAACGGCATTGTTTGACATTTGTAACTCAAGTTCTAAGCATGCTTAAGTAAGAGCACTCTTATCGGTATATCAAAAGATAAAAATCTTAATCCTCGATATGGAATGGGTTGACCACGAGACAATAACTCGAGTGAGTTTGGCGGGGATATGACAATACCTACGTATCATTTGCGAGAATTTTTCAGACCTAATTATCGCGCGCGGCACCTATCTCCGTTCAAGAAAAGTATATTCTACATTCGAAGACGTGCTTGTCTTGAGTAGTTGGCGCGTGCGTGCATGTGCTGGTGGGGCCTTGCCGCCTTGGAAAGCCTAAAAGGAGAATAGGTCTGGTACAAAGTACAGATGATGCTGGACGAAGGGAAAGAAAAGCAGCGCATATCGAGTACTCAAATTTGGTGGAGTTCGTGTGCGGAAGTGGTCGCAGCATATGCCATGGAAGATGCGACCAAATTCTCCCACAAGCCACAACACTTTCAGTTCCTTATCCTCTATAAAAACCCTCCTGTAGTTCACTTTCACTCAACAATCTGGTCACTAAATGGAAGAGTCACTTTCTGTTTCTGATCATTTCGGTGCAAGTCACTTCACCATGGCCACGCCATCTTCGCCATGGCGGCGCTGTCCGGTAAGCGGCGGACGGTGTTGGGGCAGTGGCTGGCGGGTAACTCTAGTCTGAGGGGCGGCGGTGCGTGGTCTAGTTCTCCCTCACAGGGCAACCTCAATCCTTTGGCATTCTCGGAGTGGTTCATGGGTCATTACCTACTCTGTTTTTACTTCAGTAATAGGACTAGAAGTCGATGCAGCTCTCATCTATGTAATCTGATATACATTTTGAGCTTTGTGATTTGTTTTGGGATAAGGGTTTGAGATGATGTATCATCTTAGGCCCGATGCAGTAGAAGTACTATGCTGTTGCATTTAAGGTTTGTGCTACCTTACTCCTTTTTTCCTTCTCTTCGATCTATCATGATGGACTTAGGATACATCTGAGTTGATTTGTCTTTCAACTTAACCTGTCAAATGCATCAAAGCAGAGCTGTTCTCTTAGACCCGAGAGGATGCAATCTGCATTGTAAAGCATTAAGATGGCTGGTTGTAGAATGTTTTTGTGACGGCGCATCAATGAACAAGAGAAAATGGGATGAGCTTATTCTAAACCGATCATGTAATCAATAGGCACTGTTTACATTAGAGGTGATCAACGGGTAGGTGGCGAAACTATCAAGAAAAGCCGAAGTCCAATTGCCGGGCAAACCCAACTTACCTACACAGTGCTTTCGGAGCCGGCTTATAAAAAAAAAAAGGGATAGCTAGTTGTAGAATGTAATTGCAACGATGCATCGATGATCAAGAGAAAATGGGTGGAGCTTACTCTAAAGCAATCATGTAAGCAATAGGTACTGCTTATATTAAAGGTGATCAATGGACATGTGCCGAAACTTTTAAGAAAAGCTTAAGCCCAATGGTCGGCCAAACCCAACTTGCCCACATAGTGTTGTCGGAGCCGGCATATTAAAGAAAAGAGCTTGAAAATTGCATAGAAAGCAATTGATTTGGGCTTAATTCCATGAAATGATGCTTTTATTTTTATGGCAGGCGATTCGACTGATTAGATCCATTTAACCGATCAAATCAGCTAGATTCACATATATCCCAAAAGCCATGTGTGGCTTGGCGATTGGCACAACACTCTCATTGAAGATGCAGGAGGTTCTCTTCTTAAACCCACTCGATCGACACCGAACTTTTGAAATATTCAGAACGTGTTTAAGTTGAGCTCAAGCCAGTATCTTGCCAGACCGATTTCATTCTAAATAGAAGAGGCGGCGGGCTAAGGATCAGCTCGATTCAATTGGTTGAGTAGGACTCGGTTTCATTTCAAGAATATCTAGCAAAATCCGACCTTAAAACCGATTTCTACCACAACATTCACAGAAAAAGATGACCCCAACGAAGCTAAAGCCCGCCAATTAGCTCGACAGGTCGAAACCGTCCGATCGAGTCCTCCTTGAGAAGACATCGGACGGCCGACGGTGCAGCAAAATTCATCCCGAACGGATATCGGCAAAATCCGAAAGTGACCCGGACCGACCCGAACTCGTGACGCATGATCGCCGTTCGACTTCCGCCGGGGGAGGGGCCCACCGAGCAACGGTCCGAACGGAGCTCCCCCCACCACACACGGCTCGCGCGATCCGATCCACACAATTAATCGCCGAGCTTAAGCGGGAGGATTTCAAATTTTGAAAAAAAAAAAAGAATTCCACCTCCACCTCCACCTCCACCTCCCATTTCGAAAAAAACGCGAGGGGATGCGAAACTACCGTTTTGCCCCCCCTCATCTTTGCCTACCTTTACCCTTTCCGCTTTTCGAAGATTCGCAGCCACCGTCCGTCGCCTCGCTCCCCCCAAGCTCTCCATTTCTGCTTCCCGATTTCGCTCCGCCCGCCCTAAAACCCCTCCTCCTCAGGTGCTGCTCCGATCCGATCCGTCTTCTTCGCTGGCCCCCGATTGCGCTACTCGATTCCCCCGTTTCTGATCGGATTTGATCTTTGCTTTTCGGGCCTCCGATTTCGCAGGTCGCGTCGCGCGCCGGAGCTCCGGTCGGTTTTTCTGCACGGACATGGGTCAGATCCAGTACTCCGAGAAGTACTTCGACGACACTTACGAGTACAGGTTGTGTGCGGTTCCTCGCGGGCCTCGTCGTTGCGGTTTTTCTCTTCTTCTTCTTCTTCTTCTGTGTCGCGGTCGCTGACGTTTTCGTTTTCCGGTGTCCCGTTTTTTTTTTTTTTTGTTTGGTGTTTTTCCTTGGCGATGCTGCGCAGGCATGTGGTACTTCCTCCTGATGTCGCCAAGCTTCTCCCGAAGAACCGCCTCCTTTCTGAAGTAAGTTTGGCTGGCTCGGTGCTGGTGTTTTTGTTGAGAAAAACAAGAAAGTGTTGCTTTTGATCCGCTTTGCTGTTAGTCGCTGGAATGAAGGGCGATTGGGTGAAATGAGAGATTTTTTGTTTCGATTTTCTCCTGATTTGGTGCGGTTATCGAGTCGTGCGGTGAGGCGGGTTTCCGCTGGAGGAATTTGCTGTTCTATTATTTGTTTTCACTCGTCGTGTTGGATGATTCCTTGCAAGCCATTCGAGTGGGTTTGGGGCTAGTTCAATTTATGGTTTTTTGGTGACAAATAGATGAAAAAATGGGATAAAAGGATGTGACACCTCGAGTTGCCTTGTTGCTCACGAGGAGAAGATTCATTAAAGTAGTCGAAATGATCGGATTGCGTCCTGAAACGATATATAGGAGTTGAATGCTAGACATTGCGCTGTTTCATCTTCTGTGTAATTGATTTCTTGCTATCAGCAGCATGGCCGAACGATAGGAGTTGAATGCTAAAACATTGCTTTTGAGACTTGTGTGTGATCATGTTTATTGATTGTTTGCTTGCTTTACTTCTGCATATTACCAATGTGTTTGCCCTCTAAGCCTTAGTAATGCCCGTTTTAGATTTTCTTGTGTTTATATGTTTTAAAATTGAAAGACAAAGGAGTATGTAGAATACAGTACGTTTGGACTCAACCACAGTTTTGACTTGTTGCATTATGGGTTAAGAAAAGGCGTAAAATTTTAACTTGATATGCGATGTGAAAGATATATAATGTAGATAATCATTTAGTTGAGTGTCCTGCGTCAGGATCGTAATCTAGTGATTGGTAGAGTGTCCTCTCTTATATCTTTTTCGGTCTAGTGGATCTTTGCAATATTGCTTGTCTAATACTTTATTAATGGATGGTGCGTAAGAAATGTGTGTCCAAATTTGAATGATCACGTGTTCTTCTTTATTTCGTCTCCACCAGAATGAATGGCGTGCCATTGGAGTGCAGCAGAGTCGTGGTTGGGTTCACTATGCAATTCATCGCCCTGAACCACACATCATGCTCTTTAGGAGGCCTCTGAATTACCAGCAGCAGCAAGAGAACCAGGCCCAGCAAAACATGCTTGCTAAGTAAACATGTTATTTTGCTAATGCTTTGAAACAATATTACAGTATAATTAGGGTTGGAAGGTTTAGTAAATGTTAGGATGTTATGAAACTTGTCATTGTAATTGGCGGCAATTCTCCTCTTTGGAGAATCTATCGTGGAACTTTGTTTGTTGTGGTGTCAGTGATCTGATGTTTGTACTGGTCACTTTGGTCCTTTGTTTGAATAGCACTTGCCTTGCTTGGCTGGTGTAATTGACAAATGTCTGGCGGATATCAAGATGAATACTTAATACTGATTTTGTGTTTTAAGTGGTTCTCACGATTCTGCTGTCACATTTAACTTACAAATTTCCGCTAGTTGCATAAAAGATTTTAGAGAAAAACACCCCCTTTTTTTTTTTTTGGTGAAATCACGTCCGCCTTCATTTCATTTGCATGTTAGGGACTCTGTGACATGGGGACATAATTGCAATTCACATGGGGAAGAGTGGGTTTTACATGGGTTTCATGTGATCTAATGACTTTGCTGATGTTCTACCATCCACTCAACTTACGTAAGTATTTTTCATCAACAAAGATTCATGGGGCCCACAATCTCGGGGCTTTTTTGTTTATGACACACATTTACCATGTCTTCATCGGGAAGCTTTTTCATTGGAGCTGGGTTAACTAGAGGATAAACTCCTTTGGGGCCGTTCTAGTTGTGTTTAAAAGCAGTTGTCATCAACTATGTTGGACCCTTCTTTATTGCCGGATTCTTGATGATTAATTTATATTCTGAGAGCTGAGATTTTAGTGTTGGAACTCAGTTGGATTGTTGATGTGTTGGACATTAACGGAAAGCTTCAGTGATTTTGAAAGTGAGTGAAATTTGTACCTAAATTCATTTAGGGTGACTTCTTAGTACTGTTGACACCGGAATTTCTGCATCTTCCTGCATGGTACTTCGGATTTATGGCTTTTGATGGTGGTCATTCTTTAAATGGATGAAGTGGGGGTTTATTTATTCCAAGCCTCTGTTTTTTTTTAATTTGGGTCAAAAGCCTCTGTGGAGTTTGATCAAGAGAATTTTAATTTTCTGAGGGTCTCCGGCGCTTTGCCCTGGGTCTGAATCTGATGAAACCTAACATGGCTATTAAGAACTCGATTAGTAGTTGACGTTGGAGCTAACAGAGATCAGCTAGAAAAGGAATATGAATTAAGATTGGAGATTGACTTGCATGACAGGTGAGTCTGGGTTTCTAGCATCTATATATTAAGTTTCACTAGGAATATGGTACATCTGTCCTAGGAAACATGTTCACAGGTTTTTTTTAGTTGCCTGAGAAGTTCTACTTGCTCTTGCTTGGTTTGTTGGGCTGTTCGAATTATTGAACTAGTTCTTGGTTTGCTTAAAAGATGCGTTTTGTTTTCCCTGCAATATGCTCTCTATCATAAATTCAACCATAGTCATGGGAAATTTGAGTTTGGATGCGACTCTAGCTTCTGAAACTATAAGCCATAATGAGTTTGACGTGCGTTACACGCAACGAATGTGGTCATCTTGAAAAGTGTTGAAGAAATATGTTTGATGCACGCTTTGAAGTTTTTTAAATGTAATTGGAAACTTTGACTTTTACCTCGTTTGTCCATGATTAGAAGCTATCTGGACAAGCGATACCTAGTCCTATCCAAGCTCAAAACCCCATATACAGGCTCAACCACTAGTGCTTTAACAAATGACTGTCGTTCATCATACGCTAACATTATTAAGTAAAATAGATGTTGCCCTCGACCGGCTTCTTAGTATAAATGCTCCGCCATGTAGGGGTTCTTTAGGCCAGACGAGTGATATGAAATCTACCGTTGCAGATGAGAGCATGTCGCGAATTGTTGCATTTTGCACGAGCTTATAGGCGAAGTTTCGGTCTGTCAGGAAAATCCATATTTCGCATGAATGCGGAGTCAAACTATCGAAGGATGGATCAAAAGAGGACGAAACAGATGAGGAGTCGTGGAGCTTTAAACAAATGGAGACGTGGTAAATGATGGATTTCACGCGAAAAGGAAGGGGGTTTTATGGGATTCTTTTATGCGAAGGAGAGCCGTCTCGTGTGAGTTTTCAACTCATGCGCAAAGATTGACGCCTGAAAATGACCCTCTGACTTCACTTTTCCCATGGAGAGAGAGAGAGAGATTTTGAAGAAATCTAATGCCCAACTTGTAAGTTTGATATAACTTATTATTAAGAAGCCAGCGCAGCGACGCCATCGGGTTTGGTCCGCTCGTTCTTTAATATTTACCAACTTCATCTTGAACTCTACCATCTTATTTTGAAGGGATCGTCGTCCCCGACCCCACTGTGACTGGGATTGGTTGTGCTTGAGGGAGGTCTTAAGTGGGGACGACCCCAATCTCAACGTTGACTCGAATCTATCTCTCCATCCTCTCACGTCTCAGGAAGGCTAGCATCATCCCTCGTTTGTTTGCTTGTGTGTGCTTATAATAGAACACTGTTATTCCATAAAGAAGAACATCTTGCACCCAAAAACCCTCCTGAGTAGAAACCCGGGACCGCCACCTAAATCGGCGAAGTTCGACACGTAACTCTGCCGGTATCAAAGAGAGGAAGCGAGAGAGGCCATGATTCTCGATCCGGCCTCTTGTGGTTTCGCGAGCATTTCACAGGGGATGCAGATGATGCAAGGCGGTTATAATCAAGATGGCCATGTCCTCGCGTCTAATTCGGGAGGAGCACCGCCGGCTTCGGCATCGGAAGCCCACTCGAGCTCTCTGCTTTACAGCCTGTCTCTTCTCAAGGACAAGGTTCATCAGGTCCGATCGCTTGTCACCATCCTCGTCGGGTCCGGTCGAGGCCAGCCCGAGTCAACGTCCTTTGCCTTAGCCAGCATGGGAAGCTTGATTCAAGAAATCATAGGGACTGCAACTTCTATGATGTTCTCTTGCCAGCAGATGACTCTTCTCGGTCCCGCTATGCCTTCAGGTACTACTACCAGTAACGACAACAACCACCATCCTCCTCTTGCTCATGAGCATAGCTCTCTTGATTGGTATAGCCCAAGTAGCTTTGTCAATTTCAACGGCAATAATGACGGTCAACGTCCGGCAACTTTAGCGAAAAAGGGCGGGTCAGATCAAGAAATGAGAGAATTGCCTCAGGTGGATCGCCAGAACAACGAAAAACCGCAAGCTCACCGTGCGTTGAGCAGCAATAGTTATGATATCATCGAACTGAACGCCGACGATTTGTTGGCGAAGTTCACGCACTATTGCCAAATCTGCGGGAAAGGGTTCAAGCGGGACGCAAACCTGCGAATGCACATGAGAGCTCACGGGGACGAGTACAAAACCAGCGCTGCCCTAAGCAACCCCACGAAGAACAGCAACAGCAACCGCAACAAAGCGAGCGATGATCAAGAGTGTTTGAGGCCGAAGAAGTACTCGTGCCCGCAAGAGGGTTGCCGGTGGAACCGGAAGCACCCCAAGTTCCAACCTCTGAAGTCCATGATCTGCGTCAAGAACCACTACAAGAGGAGCCACTGCCCCAAGATGTATGTGTGCAAGAGGTGCAACCGGAAGCAGTTCTCGGTGCTGTCCGATCTGAGGACGCACGAGAAGCACTGCGGCGACACCAAGTGGCAGTGCAATTGCGGGACCACCTTCTCGAGGAAGGACAAGCTCATGGGCCACGTCACCCTGTTCGTCGGCCACTCGCCGGCCTTATCGGTCGACCTGATGAACCCGCAAGGACTCAGAGTTCAGCAGAAAGTTGCACCCAACATCATGCAGTTAGATGGTATTGCTTATGATAGGTATTCTTTCCCCTCATCTTGGCATTGAAAAATTCTGGTTTCTTCCTAAATATGCGCCTGTTTAATTTTGAGTCTAAAACTAGTTAGGAAGTTTGCTCGAACAAAGGCTCGTTATAACTCCGCCGGTTTCTTGATTATTAGGGGATGAGGTTAGGCCGGTGTAGACATGTAGCGGAGACGTCTGACCTGGGCTTACGAACACTTTCCGTCGGCAAAAGAAGGGCCGGAACCGGTGCGGCAAACAGTTAATACATGCACAGGATCATCGGATACACACTGACTGACGTTAGTTGCTTTGCGAGGATAGAATCAATTCGGAGTTATCAGTTTCTGCCATTTGGAACGTTAATGCATGAAATGATACGTGACATATCCATGTATCATCTCCGGAAGTGAGACCGGTGATGTTCCAGATGATCGACCGTTATGCTTTGTATGGTAGTTTGCAAGAAATAAAGTAGATTTTTTTTTGTTGACAATAAGAAACAATGTAGATTGCTGCTAGATGCTTGAGGGCATGATACTTTCTTTGATCTTATGTAATCTATGAACCCCCTTGACTTAGTTGTTTTTTATTTTTTGGCAAACCCTTGACTTAGTTCTCTCTTCGTCTTTTGGGAAGAGCCAAAGGTGCTAGCGTAATATCATACGCATGCGATGATTCACAAAACTTCCTCGTCTACCCTGTAACGACCCGAGGCTCCATCTTAGCACAATATTATTCGCTTTGGGCTAGAGCTCTCACGAATTTAAAACGCATCATATTAAGTTAAGGCTCATCAAGCCTTATAAGCAAATCTAAGGCTCCCTCCCTAGGCGATGTGGGATAGGAGAGGTACCCCCACTTCCCTGCGCATGTCCGGGGTAGTGGCGCGAACGCACCGCCATCCCTCCTCCTCCCCGCGCTCCGCCGCTTGGCTTGTGCCGTCACATACCCAATTGGAATTTGAATTTTCTTCGCAGTTCATTCTACAACTCATTTGAATTATCAATATCTCGAAATTAAAATGATTCTGTGAGCGCACGCGTTGCCATCTTGACCTGCCTCTAATCTAATAACCATTCGATCATTTTGTCCAAATAATCTAAATATTCGTGCATTCAGTTTCTTTTTTCCATGCACGCGAAAATCACATTTGACTTTCGCTTTTCGATATTTCATTTTTTCCTAGGAATTTTTTGCAGCCACCCCATTTTTTTCGTCTCTTTATTTGCCGTGAAATATTAGAATTATACACAATTCTTGACTCGCCCGCCCCGCGGCAGAGAAATAAATAATCCCTCGCGACCAGGAGGTTCATTCCAACATCTCCCGAACGCGCCCGATTTCAAATAAACCCGCCCCGGGCAAGACCCGACCCGTCCACGTCAGCGATCCGCGTCTCGCCCGACGGACCAATCAGATCTCACGCCTCTCCCTCCATAAAACACGTTCTCCGCTTCTCATCTCCGCTCAAGTCCCCATCGCATCATCTTCCTTTGTCTCGCGCGCGGAATTCGTGCTCTGCGTCTGCAAGCGCGCGACCTCGAGCCTCTCCGATGGCGCCGAAGGCTGAGAAGAAGCCTGCGGCGGCGGCGAAGAAGCCGAGGGCCGAGAAGAAGCTCCCCGCCAAGGAGGGGGCGGGAGACAGGAAGAAGAAGCGGGCGAAGAGGAGCGTGGGGACGTACAAGATCTACATCTTCAAGGTGCTGAAGCAGGTGCACCCGGACATCGGAATCTCGAGCAAGGCCATGGGCACCATGAACAGCTTCATCAACGACACCTTCGAGAAGCTGGCCCAGGAGTCGTCCCGGCTCGCGCGGTACAGCAAGAAGCCCACCGTCACGTCCCGGGAGATCCAGACGGCCGTCCGCCTCGTGCTCCCCGGGGAGCTCGGCAACCACGCCGTGTCCGAGGGCACCAAGGCGGTGACCAAGTTCACCAGCGCTTAGGGCGCCGGGCGATTCTTGATTTTGGCGCTCGGTTCTTTTGTAAAAAATAAAAATAAAAAATTCGGTGGGCATTTTGCAGAATGGAGAAGCTCCATTGGAACTTGCGTTTGGTCACTTTTTTTGGGAGATGAAAAATTTGCAGTTGTGAAATACCATGAGCCATGGCTTCTTGATATATTGGCATTGATCTGAATTAAATTATGACACATGACTTCCTATTGTCTTCAAATATGGCCATATAATGTGAAAAAGTGGGCTCTCGATTTCGGTTTGGAAAATTCAAAAATCGGGAATCAACTTCGATAGGGGATGATTGATTTGGAATTTATCTACTTTGGAACGGTCCCGTCACGATGGTAGGGTGCTCTTTCGTCGATTTCTACTAATTGTAGTTATCTACTTTGGAACGGTCGTGTCACAATGGTAGGGTGCTCTTTCGTCGATTTCTACTAATTGCAGGTGTTGTTGGCTCGTCTAGTTGACATGTCCATGGGAAAAATAAGAAAATTCGAGTAGTAAAGTTGAGATTGGGAATTAAAAAAAATTTTCCACTTTTGTTGATCCATCAATTTGGTCTATTTTATCCAAAATCTTATTTTCCTTTAAAGTGAAAATTAAGCAAATGATTGATGAACTTTGATCAAATATACAATATGGTTCCTGATCTTTTAATTTGTTCAATGTGGTCTATGAAATTTAACCCAATGCGTGATGTAGTTCCTAAATTTTTAATTTATTTAAAGTAGTCATTGAACTTTTTGATATATATTCAAACTAGTCTCTAAATTATATGAGAACGTTCAATATTGTCCCTCAATGTTCAGGGATGACATTGGAAAAATTAAAAGTTTAGGAATCACATTACGCATTGGGCTAAAGTTTAGAAAATCACATTGAACAAATTGAAAGTTTATGGACTATTTATATTATTTATAACCAACGAGAGTGATCACGGGCCAAGCGGTTTGTGGGCCCAAATCCCCTTTTTGGGCCCATAAACAAAATCAGGCCCAAAGAGCTTCGAAGTGCAGACTGCGATGGGGATAGTCGTCGTAGTCGTAGCTCGTTCCCCTTCTTCCCCGAGTCCCGATGCCGTCCTCGACTCTCGACGACGCTAGCTAGCTAGCTAACCTCCGATGACCACGCGCCACGCGCCTCCCGTGCGGGTCCTGACCCGCCCCCCCATCGCTCCGCCTCCCCCATCCCCCTCGGATCATCCTCCGCCTCCGCCTCCGCCTCCGCCTCCGCCGCCGCCGCCGCCGCCGCCGCCGCCGTCCTCCTCCTCCTCGCCCGGTCCTTCCCGGAGCGTCGTGGTGGTCGGTCTCGTCGCCCGGAGCGCCGGCTACTCGTCGCAGCTCCTCAACAGGGTCCTCGATCTCCACGCCTTCGGGTCGGGCGGCGTCGACCGGGTCCTCCGCGTGGGCGCCGACGGAGCGAAGGAATGGTTCGGGCGCAGGAGGGTCAGCTATTACTACGACGAGGAGAGAGGCGTCCTCTACTTGCAGTTCTGCTCCACGAGCTGCCCGGCGGCTCTCCCGCCCTCCGAGGTCGCGTCGGGGTTCGATTCGTTCGTGGAGGAGCGCGAGTTCGGGGACCTTCAGGGATTGCTTTTCATGTTCTCCGTGAGTTTTTCCTGCTTCGATTTCAGTATGGAATTGAGTTTAGCGAGTTTTTCAGTTCACGAGCCAGTGCGAGGGTTCTAGAGCTCAATTTTCGCCTGTACAAAGAGTAGAGCTAGAAGCTAGTTGATACGGCAAACTCAGTGTCTAAAATCATCGATGCGACCTTCTCACTGATGCTAGATTTAAGTCATTCAGCTGAGTCTTGATTGCTGTGAAATCATATGCCTAATGTTGGTTCGGTCCCGTGGGATTGCAATTTAAGGACCCTTTGTGTTCCTTCTGTTGAGTCCGGGCAATGTCTTGTGGCAATTACGATGAATATGCATTTTTCAATATTGGCGCTTGTTGGTCACTCGGTAGCATTCCTGCATGTTAGTAGGACGCTGAATCATAAATGTATTTAGAAGTTGAACATTTGAAATAGATTCGCTGACATTGGGCTTCCCTGTAGCAAACCTCCTTAAAGCATTTGGTCGATGAAATTGTGTTGCCTCTCTTCAAGAGGAGGGCAGTGTTATGCGTCCATTTTTTATGTCTTTGAAGGGTTGACTTCTAAAACCACTTTCGAGGCCAAAATAAAACTGATCTTGTGGTTATTTCATTGTGCAAGAATACATTTGGAAGATCATTTGAATGAAGTGATACATTACCTTTTTTAAATAGTTTAAAATGAGAGGTAGAATCCATAGTCTGTGTTTGTGCAATTTGTTCTCTCGTACCAGAGAAAGTAAAAGTGAAATTATTGCTTCGAATTTTAGAAAGCAGACTAGTTTCTGTGCTAAATTTCTGTAAATAAGTAATTTAGAAACATTTTGACAAACAAGTTCACACGATAAATATTGAAAGCAGCATTGAAACATTGACAAACAAGTCTAGCATTAATTAACATGTTGCAAGTCAGTATACATGTGAGCATTTTTTCTCAATCAACATCATTGAGTTGGAAAAACCATCAATTGATAATACTTTTGGGGTGGGGTTGAACTTTTATCACCAAAAGATTGTCGTTGGAGCATGTTGCATGGTCAATTGTTTCTGGATCTTTATGTCACAACTTGTTGATGTGCTCTCAAATTCCCAAGAAAGTATTGTTGGGGGTAACATTCAAGCTTTAATATGATTTGAGACTCCAGTTTGCATTTCCTTGTGGACCATGGTTTGGTTAACTTGACAAATGAGGTACTCTAATGTGAAATACTGAAGTGGGCACTTGATACCGTTTCCTGCCATTTGCAGATCAATTTTTATCTGTGCAAGATTTGTTATCTTCTGAATTTGACTTGCACTTCAAATAAATGACAAATGACACCACTTAATGCAGGTTTGCCATATAATCATACATCTTCAAGAAGGGTCGCATTTTGATACCCAAACTTTGAAAAGCTTTCGCATACTTCAAGCAGCTAAGCAGGCTCTAGCGCCATTTGTGAGGTCCAAAACTATGCCGATGCTGCCATCAAGACCTCAATCTTCGTCATCTTCACGACATACCTCGTCATCAGCCTCTATTCACAACGTTTCCCCAGGTAGAAGTCGTAATATGAATCGTAATGCATCTGCTATATCACTTATGTCCGGTTTAGGTTCATCCACATCTTTGTTTCCCGGACAGTGTACTCCTGTCATACTCTTCGTCTTTGTTGATGATTACTTGGAGGTGGCACATGCAAGCTCTCATGTGGAAGAGGCTTCAGAAACCTCCTCAGTTAATGTCAGTGCTAATTTAAGCAGTTCCTCTAGATCAGCCTTGCCTACAAAAGCTCCTGGTTCTGTAGTTGTGCTAGCACGCCCTATTAGTAAGTCTGAAGGTGGTTTCAAGAAGAGGCTACAGTCATCTCTTGAGGCACAGATTCGCTTTCTCATTAAGAAATGTCGAACACTCTCAGGATCCGAAACTAGTCATGCTGGGTCCAGAGGGGGTGCCTCAAGTTCTGCACCATTATTTCTGCTTGATGCTTCAAGGGCTGTTGTTCTGCTTGATAGATCAACAAATCGGAGTGGTGAATCTCTTGAATTTGCAATGGGCCTTGTGGAAGATGTTTTGAATGGAAAAGCAACTTCAGATTCTCTCTTGCTTGAAAGCCACAGTCAGAGTAACAACAAGGAGGATATAACATCAATAAAGGAATTCATTCATCGGCAGTCTGATGTCTTGAGGGGTAGAGGTGGACTAGTGGCGAACACCAATGGTGGCTCAGCTGCTGGTGTTGGCATGGTTGCTGTTGCTGCAGCTGCCGCAGCTGCTTCAGCTGCATCTGGCAAAGCAGTTACAGCTCCTGAACTTCCAAGTCTGGAATCCTGGCTTTCTTCCAGCAAGATTGTCCTGCATGGGATCCTTACGGGAAAACGTGGATGTATAGATGAAATTGAAGTAAACAAGAGAAAGCCTAGGCAGCGAAATATCAATTCCCCTCAGGTTGAAGGCATTGCATTAAAAGGTGCGGAGCCTGTAGATGTTGCAGTATCTTGGTTGGAGAGAGGAAAAGGACTCAACATGAAATTTTCAACTTCATGGTGCCAAAAAGCCCTTCCATCTGCCAGGGAGATCTATTTGAAGGACTTGCCTGCTTGTTATTCAACTTCTCAGCATGAAACTCATTTGGCAAAGGCTTTGCATGCTTTTCGCTCAATGGTAAAGGGACCTGCAGTGCAACATTTTTTGAAGATGTTAAAGGATGAATGCGTATCAATCTGGACATCTGGAAGGCAACTGTGTGATGCCGTAAGTTTGACCGGAAAACCATGTGTACATCAAAGACACGGTATTGAGGGAGTTGATTCCCTTTCGGCAGATGCCAAGCCTCATTCAAGTGGATATGTTTTCCTCCATTCGTGTCCCTGTGGCCGTACACGGCGATTACGAGCTGACCCTTTTGACTTCAAATCTGCCAACGATGTCAACTGCTCTTCAGATTGTGAAAAGCTACTCCCTGCACTTCAAATACCCGAAACAAGCAACAGAGAACCTATTAATGCATCTTCATGGCGTTTGTTACGTCTAGGGAATTCAAAGTACTATGATCCTTCCGAAGGTTTACTGCAGAGTGGCTTCCATGCCACTGAAAAATATCTTCTGAAATGGACAATTTACCTGGAAAAGCAGAAGAAGATGGATGGTTCACCACCAAAGACAATTCAACCAGATGATACAGCTAGGTCAGACACAGACCCAGTATCTGACTGTAATGCATCCACAGACATGAAGAGGAGCATTAATATGAAATCATATCCGGGACATGTGCAGCATGGCAATGACAATTCAGGGAAGACTGATGATATCTTTTCTGACAGCAAAACAATTAGCTTTGGGAGAGGTTTTCCCAATTTTATGATCAAAAGACCTTTTTCCGAGGTAGTTGCTGGATCTGCAGCTGCTGATTCGGCTTTTCCTCCTCTCCAGCAGAGGAAACAGCCTCCTTTACTTAAAAAGAAGGTGATTAAGCAAATCACTACAGAAGACAGTGCTCCAGAACAGATACACACAAATGTTGATCATAATGCATCAAACAGGTTTCAGGGTATTTCTGATCAAATCGATTCAAATAGGATTGGTTCTAATAATTTTCACGTGGGTAACCCTTTTGTACGGATAGGCAGTAAT